TACTTGTTAAAAGTCTGATTGGTCCACAATGACCAGAGGCAGAAGAATTTAGGAAGAGATCAAGAAACAGCTTAATAATGCAGCCTGCCTGGAACATGGAATGCATGAAGAAGAATAATGTGAAATAAGGATGAAAACTGTGCCTGTTGGGTTGGCATTCTGAAAATCTTCCTGATTTGCTCTGAGGAGGAAGTCTTACCCTGGCTTGGTATCAGATTTCCCTATTTCCAGGCTTTCATCTCCTCATTTACCTTGGCCATCTCATGTGCACATTGCTTATTTTCCTGGCTAGGAGTAATTAGTCCAGAAGGAGTAGGGCCAGGCTAAGTGTCTGAGAACTCTCAAACCTTACTGAAGTGCTAGATGTGTTTGCCATAGCCGCCATTTAAAAGGCACTGCTGAGCTCCCATGGAGGAAGCCACTTTCCCCTATTTGCAGGAGAAGCAAATAAACTAATTAACCAGATAGGAGTCTGGCATATTGAAGATCCTTTTCTAATTAGAAAAAAAAATCTATACTACATAGGAACGTCCAGTAAATTCTTGGAAATAGGTAGAGCAACAGAAGGAACAGTCCGTCCTCTTGTTCATTTGGATAAAACCTCATAATTTAAATGAAGACCCTGTACCAAGAAGGGGGGCTATGAAGGAGTAGGGTTCTATGACAAAGTGAAAGGCTTCTTTTACTTCAGGTCTTAAGTCTTAACTTTGTGTTTTATGGCAGTCTGGTGAGGCCTATGGGTTGTTTCTCAGAATAATGTTTTTAAATGCACAAAATAAAATACATAGAATTATAAAGGAGACCAGTTCTATTGAAATGCAGTACTTTTTAATTTTTAAATCTTCTTCTTTTTTTTTTTTAGGCAATTGGGGTTAAGTAACTTGCCCAGGGTCACACAGCTAGTAAGTGTCAAGTGTTTGGTCTGAGGCCGGATTTCAACTCAGGTACTCCTGACTTCAGGGCCGGTGCTCTATCCACTGCGCCACCTAGCTGCCCCACTTTTTTTTTTTAAAGCAAGTTCATAGATCCTAAGTTAAGAACCCCTGTATTAGGAGAAAGCAAGTGATCTAATAGTTAGGGGCCAAAGGTTTGGAGTCAAACTCACAAACACTGAAGGGGCTTTGTATTCAAGTAGTCTATCTTCCTTCTAGCATGGTCTCTTCTGCAACATTCTTGCCAATGATGATCCAGGCTCTGCTCCAACACTTACCATCCCCCTTGGAAAGGGGGTGGGGGGTGAGGCACATCTCTTACTGGACAGATCTAATTGTTAGAAAGCTCTTTCTCCATCAACCGTTAGTCTCAGAAAATGCCCGTTAACAGTGTTATTAATGAAGAGCTAGCAGATGCTTGAGTAGACACCATCCCAAGGTTAGGAACACCTACTTGCAAGAGTATCCTTCACATAAAAATTACATTTTTACATAGCCTCCACCCACCTCCTCACCGGATAACTACAGACAATCTCATTCAAATAGTCATGTTGTTGTTGAACTGTTTCAGTCGTGTCCAAATTTCCATGACCCCTTTGTCATGACAGAAGGGAAGAGGTTCAGGAAAATGAAGTGATTTGCTCATGGTCATATTGTTAATAAGTAAGAGAGCCCAAACTCAAAGCCAGGTCTCCTAATTCCTGGAGTCTGTTTTATTAATTACACCAAATCACATACTGTTACTTTTGTGCTATGTGTATCAATTTGTCTTCTCAATGAGACTGCAAAGCTTCTTGAGGGCCAGAATTCTACTACTTTATAATTCTGTTGTAGCCCTCATAACAACTGGTAAGTGCTTAAAAAAATAACTACTGAATGAAGTTAAGGGAGAAAAAATATTATGTTGCAAGACTCACTGCAGGAATGGATAAATGAAATCACTGTGATACTGTTTTATTCGAACAGGCTTCCCCTCTTTTCCTCTAAGATGGATGAAATGATGCCCCAAGGAAAGAAGATAAGATGGGAGTGAAATATACCCAAATAAATGACTCAATCACTGAGTTCTTGGGTGAGTTAGAGTGACTGTCAAAGCCCTTAATTTATTCATTTTTATTGGTTTTGATGGTTATTTGATGTCATTAGGGATTCAGGTCTCATCTGCTTGCTCTGAGATCATTTGAATAGCATCAGTGATGGAGACTGAGAGTGGAGACGTTACATATGCAGGCAGGACTGGACCTGATCTTATAAAATGTGGCAGAAGAGAGAGCTTGGGGGTTCCAGACTTCATTGGCTGGAGAAGGAGAGAGAGAGAGGGAGAAATACTTTGGAAGACAAGATTTCTGCTGGCTTTCTAAATGACCATGAAAACCACCATTCAAGTCTCACTTATACTCCTTTTAGTAACTATTTCTGACTGTGCGGTCATCACTGGGGTAAGTCTAATGTTTTCTTGGCCATGAGGGCTAGGAGGATCAGAGATGTTCTGCCAGCAATATAAATTTAATACCAAGTACCAAGAAGTTAGCTTTGTTGGTTTAATGAATCACATGAAATCAAAGAAATAGATAGTGGAATTCAGTATTTGGATGACACTTCAAAAATATTCAATAGAATCCTTTTGGACCTCAGAAGATTGCTCAATTGGTTATTCTGATATGCTTTATCATGATATATATATATATATATGTATATATATATATATATACATATATATATATGTATATATATATATATATATATATATATATATATATATATATATATATATATATATATATATATATATATATATGCTCCTGAAAGGTATGGGTAAATTGAATCTTAAACATAGTAGCAGAGTTTGCTATTTAAAGAAATCCTTTAGTAGACCAGAGAATCATTATGAAAAGTGAATAATATAATCTAATTTATTTCAATTCAGATTTAAATATTTTTATATAGAATGCTGGGTTTGCTTAAAGTAGGAAGTGAATTTAACTTGGACTTTTCCCTCTTCTTAAGGAAACGAAATCCTAAAAATCTTATCTTTTTCAGTTTCTATTAATGTATTCTCCCTCCCTGCACAGATCTAATAAGATTGGGGGAACTGAAACTGGTTATAAGTACACAAAAAACAAAAATACTAATGAAGGGGGGGAGGAAAGCAGTTAAAAATCTTACTTTCTATGATACTGAATACTAGGTTTTGCCTTAGTTCTCATGTCAATGTTGGTTGGGCATTCTATGGACTGCCTGCCCGGAAAATTCCATTATTTTGTGAACATGATTTATTGATGTAGCTGTGTTTTTTTTTTTAATAGAAAAGAATATTTAACCTCAGGGTTGTCCAGATAAAAGACAAAGGTCCAAAAAGGAAATTAATTTTATTGGCATCTCAACACATTTCAGAAGGGATGGAAAAATGTGGAAAAATTCTGAACAATTCCTGTATGTGGATTAGTTATAATACCCATGGAGAGAAGACAATTTCTAAATAATTAAATTCAAAAGAATAAAAGCATATAAAATCAAGTGGATGCTTTTGAAGCCTAAACTGTAAATGAAGCCTTCAAAAAGAGAATTATAGTTGACAGAGTTACGCAGAAGAGAGTTTCTCATTCTCTTGTTTGGCATTAAATCCTGGTAGGGTAGAAGGCAGAGGAAAAACCATGTTCACTACTAGCCTTCTGTGAAAACACAAGCAGTAAAATTAATGTCCCTGTTCAACATAAATGCTAAAGTTCTTGTCATTGCCTTTTCTGTATGGATCTCATAATGTTTGAAAGAGCATGCCACTAACACAGGCAGAAGTGGAGCAGGAAAAGAAATGTGAAAGCTGTTCTTGATGGAAAAAGAACCAATACACTTTTTTGATATTATCTTTCAGAAAGGGCAAAGAGATTTAAAAAAAATAAGGAAAGAAGATATGGAAGGAATGACTTACCTATTAGCACCTGAGAGAGATTGGGGAAACAGGCAGGGGGTTCTCGACTTCATCCCCAAGTTCACTGGTCCTTTCCTACCTGTTCCTGCTTCTTTTTCGTGCCTGCTGGCTTATAGTTGAGACAATCATTCTTGCAAAGTCGCTTACTGTACAGTGTTCTCCTGGGAGAAGAGCAGAAACAAAGCCTTTCACCTCAACAATCTAAATGTAGTATTTAGATGTATTTGGTTTGTTTTTGAACTATTTTACAAAGCCTGTGCCTAGGCAGGGAAGGTAAGTAGAGGACCAGGGTAATGTCCAAAGAGGCTTTTCATTGTTTCTGCCATCGGCATCCTCTGGATATGTCTAAGTTCTCTCCTTTACATTCAGTATATAGACACAGCCGTGATGTCTTGTGAAGAGAAAAGATCCCATTTAAATGGAGACTGGACTTTCAGTTCTCCTCCAAGAACAAGCAAGTAAAGATCGCCTTCTGCTGCAATGTTTCAGGCAATTGTAATGGGAGATAATGTTTTATTCTAAGTGGCCTCTGCGCCATCTAATTTTGCCTATCTTTCAGAGACACAGGAAGACAACTCTGGACAAAACAACAGTAATTATTATAACATTTACATATGCTTTAAGGTTTGCAAGATATTTTCCCTACGTTATCACATTTGATCTTTACAACAACTCTGTGAGCAGGTATAAAATGAAAACATAGGGAGAGGAACTAAAAATGTTATGTCTGTTCTAATTAAGTTTGCTACTCATTATGGGAACTGAATCCTCTATCTGAGTGAACATGACAGAATTCTTCCAGTTCAACACAAGATTATTTTCAAGGAGATATTCACGTGACCCTCAAAAAAAAAATCAGCTTCCAGAAATTGGCCAAGTTGTGTTATGTTCGGTTTTTAACACAATCAAAACAAAATAAATCTGAGCAAGCTCTCTCCTTTTCCTGTGGGCAAATGGCCGGGAGAGTTGGGAGGTCCCCTGGGCAGGAGGAGTCACACACCACCCAAATTATGCCTAGGAAGTCCTCCCAAAGCAAGAGGGAAGTGGGAGAAGAAGGACATGATCAGGGTGAAAGCAGGGCGAGGTGGAGATGGTGTCAGATGACCCCCTCCAATGCAACAGGGTCATTGGTCAGTTTCCAGTAGCGTGAGCCATTGCTGGACCCTTCCTATCAGAAAAGTGCACAAAAATAAGCTGTTTCACAGTCACACTACCTTCTCAGGGTGCTTAAGAAGTGGTATCAGAGTTTCTCTACTAGTCAAACAAACTAGTCAACAAACTGCTCCCTGGGAAAGTTTTGCCTTGTTTATGGAACAGAGGCTCTGCTAGTAATGGAGAAGGGAGCAGCCACGTTTCCTTTACTGACCTTTACTCCTTGCCCTCAGGGTCCTCCCTCTACCTCCCCTTTCCCACCCAAGAAGACTGATGCGTGCATTTATTGCTCTGTCCGCTGCTTGCTCGGTCTGGCTAATTGACTGTGTTTCTGTGTCTCTTCTTCTCTCCCCTCAGGCCTGTGAAAGAGATCTGCAGTGTGGAGCGGGCACCTGCTGTGCCATCAGTCTGTGGCTCAGAGGGCTCCGGATGTGTACCCCGCTGGGGCAGGAAGGAGACGAATGTCACCCGGTTAGCCACAAGGTATGGAGCACTCCCCGGGTTCCTATTTCAACACGCCTGTGGGTCCCCAAGCTCCCTGACCCTTTCATACACCCCCAGCGGCAAGGCGATTGCCTCAGAGTCTCTAGGATGGAAGCGGATAGACCTTAGGTGAAGTGCCTAGGTGTCAGTGCTCTCGAGTTCCCATTGTCAGTTTTGTTGAGATCATTTATTTCTCTAAGGCAAAGGGACAGAATAGCTTCAATGAGAAAAGGCAGAGGAGAAGAGAGAATTTCTTAGCATGCCTGAATTCCCCTACCCTCTGCCCCCGCTCCCCTCATTTTATGTCCATATCATTTTCCCGGCCCCAAACACATCACTCACTGGGCAGGGAGAGGCTGTGGGGTCACTCGGCTGCCAATACTTTCCCTGCACAGGTCAGGCGATAGAGGTTCTAGGTATAGGGGTTAATGGTTGCATTAGCAACCTTAACACAAACTTGTAATTCCATATGATGCCCCGGCAAACAAAACTGGGCCTAAGGTCACAAAAGTAGTAAGTGGGTTTACTGAGCTAAGATTCAAATCCAGCACCTTTTCCCCTACTCCATGCTGCCTCAAAAGTCCTTTCCTCTCCCCTACCCCCTCTTTCAATAATGCTTTCAGAGTTTATTCTCAATAACTAAATTGCTAGGTAAGATTATTTCTGTACTTTTTAACTGGGTACTGCCATATGGCCGTCTAAAGAGACTAGACATAGTGTCTAGCAGAGGCCTCCACTGCTGCCTTCTCTCCTTCAAGAAAATGCACAAGGTAGATTACTCACCCCTCAAAGCCATAGAGCAAGGTAATTCCTTTGGTGTGTTACTCCCAATGGAATTTGGATAGATTCCTCTTCTCCAGGCCTAGGTGAAACTTCTGCCCCAACCTCCTTCTAAATCACACGTTTGGTTTGGGGTTTCATAAACACTAGATAGTACTGGCGGCTGAGAACATGTCAGGGACTGCTCTCCCTGGAGCTGGCTCTCAGCCCCAATTGGCTTTTGAGAAGGCTGAAGTTGTATCTGCCAGGCTTGTAGGGCTGTGACTAGGAAGAAAGACAGTAGTGGGGACAGCAATGTCCCAAGCCATTCCCTCATAGGCTTGAAAGGATCACCTTGAATTGCATCTGGAAAGTGTGCTGTGGTTCTTTTTGCTGTAAGTTTACCTAATCAACTACATTTGGCTTAAGCCAATATAAAAATGACATCCCTGATGAAGGGTGGCTTAGAAAGGCTGAGTGTCAGGATGATCAGGCAAGTATTAAACACTTTCTAGGAATAGTCCACACAGCTCAAATGTGAGGACTGAGTTAAATGGTTGTGTATGTACATAGTAGGTATTTAACAAATGCTTGTTGAATTGTCTCACGCCCTCGTACCCTACAGGTCTGTGTCCCAACCCTCCCATTTGTTCTGTTCTCTCCTAAGGTCCCTTTCTTTGGGAAACGCCAACACCATACATGCCCCTGCTTGCCGAACTTGCTGTGCTCCAGATTCATGGATGGCAGATACCGGTGTTCGATGGACTTCAAGAACATAGACTTTTAGAAATTAATCTGTTCCAAGAGCCCCTTCCCGTGCTGCCTCTCAAACCCATTCAAGCCCCTTCCTGCTCTTCAACAATCCAATCCCCTCTTTTCCCTAAGCTGCTCCACCTCAGTCGAAGTGAAAGCCTCCTCCCCATAGAGAATACAAGTTTTGCTATTTGATGGGGGTCATGCAGAGTCACTATTGCCAAGTCCTTAGTGGACTAATTCCCTATTTTTTTTTTTTGGCCAGGGATGCTGATATGACTTGACCAGAAAATTAAGTACTGATGTGACATTCAGTTGGACAATTTCTGTTTTTTTTCCCCATGGGACTATGACTCCTAGTAGAGCCCCTGAGGTAACAACTGTACTGACAGGTGTGTAAAAGATTAAAATGTTGCTTTGTTTTTTCTCATCCCATCCTCTTCAGAAATGAAGTCTTCCCCCCCCCCCCATACTGGTCCTTAACCTCCTTCCCATTCTCCCCAATAGAAGAATGTTCTTTCCTTACATACAGCAATCTGAAGTTTCCCTATTCATAGCACAGAAGCCTTCTGCCAGTATCACCCAAATATCCACTCTTTCTAACCCATCCTAGAGAGTATGAGTCTCAGAATCACAGAAATTTTTTTTTCTCTGCTGCCATTCACTTGGCTCGGGACACTGAATTCTTTGTCTGAGGATACACATGTGGGCCCAGCCTTACTAGTCAGCTCTTTAGGAAGGAAGAAGTTTGACTAATATAATTAAAAATAAACTACATTCTGTGATGTTCCTATAAAATATGATTTGGGGGAATCTGAGGACCACTTCTCTACTCCCACATTCTCAGATAACTAATTAGATGACCTTGGACAAAATCACTTCATTTCATAGACTGGTGAGAGTTGCAAAGTCAACTAGTGCAGGCCTCTTATTTACTTCTCTAGATCTTAGTTTCCTTATTTGAACAGATAATTCCAAATTCTTTTCCAGCTGGGAAATTCTGATTCTTAAATTCTTTGTTCTCTTGCCTCTACAGGGATTTTACTATTAGTAGTTCATTCCTTTGGATTCATGGAGCCCCTGGAAAAAAAATACTATCATCCTTGGGAGTAGCTAATATTTTAAATAGTTACTTTAAAGTAAGTTTTTATCAGTTTCGTTTCAAGTGACCCCTAACTGGGAGGAGGTTTTGAAAGTGGAGAAGGGAGAGGCATATTGAAAGGAGATATGAGAAGATAACAGAGAAGTAAATATTACCCACTTCACAATTTTCCCCATGGCAGGCCAGTGCACAGCCCCAAATGCTTAACCCACACTTCTTTTCCTGAGTGCTTTTTGATTTTTCAAAAGTCCAGAACATTGTGTTACTCACCATCCTCCTCAAAACATGTTGATTAAACCTTACTTCAGAGCATTATATATAGTTACCAAGGCACAGAGTCTGAAACAAACCCTGTGATATTAATAAAATATGCCAGCTGCATAATATTCAACTAAAATATATTACCAATGAATTACTTATTGAATATCACATAAATGATAGGAGAGAGGTGGCTCCCCACATGGGTTGCAGCCCTCCGCACTGGTTCTAATCCCTAGGACTCCCATGCCATCCTTTATCCTTAGGGGATGGAGAACACCAAGGTGAGTGACATCTTGGGGACCCAGCCAGCCAAGGCCAATTAGACAGCACTTGCAATCAAGTGACGACTTTCAGTAGATTGTAGTGAAGCTGCTAATCTATCACAGAACATAGGAACTCCTAATGCAGAAGCAGGTTGTCTGCCAATGAGTTTCTTCATAAATGGAAGCATATGACTGGCAAAAGAAGTGAACTGGTCATAGAGTGAGAGCCAGTCCAGACTCAGCACTGGTACCCACAAATATAAGACTCCAACGAATACCTCCTAGGACCCTCAGTGGATCCTTGATGAAGGATCCATGGGAGAACATGGATGAAAATCCCTTCAGATGAGAAGGCGTGGCCAACTCTTGAGGGTTACCAATAGAGGCAATGCCCGTGTGGGTAAGGCCATAGATACCTTTAAGGATAGATCACATAAAGGTCAGAAATTTTTGTGTGCTGAAAAACCCTTGATTTTTGAGGGCCTCTTTGAGATCTTTTAGGTCCATGTATGACAAGATGCCTCTGCTCTAGACATATTCCCGCCCTTCTAACATCCCCGCCTGGCCCCTTTTCTGGATTCCTCCATATCTGCAATCTTTCACACTGCAAACTTCTATGCCCCTTGGTACCTTCAACCAGATCCTGCCTGTAACATTGAAGATAAAAAGAACCAATCAGACTTACCTGAGTGAGAACCCACCCTTTGTATAAAACTATATGCCCTCACCAAAGTTGCCGAGTAGCTGGGTGTGGAAGACAGAGCTCTGGCATTTCTATGTCAAACTGAGAGTGATGACAACTTGAACTATGCTTTGTTCTGAGCCCCAAGAGCAGCTCCTGCCTTCTTTCTCCTGTTGTGGTTTGAGATTTCACATACTCTTCCAGCAACTAAGACTTTGTCCTCAAGCCCTCTTTCCTTTGTTTCCTTATGTCCCTTTCTTCTTCCTTTGTGTGAGTTAAAACATAACTAGAAATAAAGGCTTAAAGGCTTATTGCTATTAGCATCACCAACTAGTTTGCCTCTTTTGTTTATGCTTCAAAGTCCCAAAGCAGCTGTAATAGACTGGCACAGGGTGTGTGTGTGTGTGTGTGTGTGTGTGTGTGTGTGTGTGTGTGAGAGAGAGAGAGAGAGAGAGAGAGAGAGAGAGAGAGAGAGAGAGAGAATATTTGTATCCTCCGGTAGTCCCAAGATGGCACAAGTGATGTCTAACCCTCACTCTTACCACTTCTGGGAAGGGGGAATTGAAACTGATATTAAAGGCCCTTAGGCATCTTGCTGAAGTTTGTCTATTGGCTAACTAGCCACTTGCCCTTAATATGAAGGGCCCCACCCTCATATTACATAACACATGTTTTACATGTATTTATGATCCCCATCTATAATTAGGGCTAAGTTCAATGCACTAGTTGGTATGAAGTAAAACCTTCATCGTAGCTAACATTTACATAGGACTTTGAAACTTTTTGCTGTTCAAAAGTATCTAATGCAGAGGTCTTCAAAGTGGGGTGCACATACCTCAGAAGGGAGGCAAAATGATTCGTGGGTATATAGAAAAATATTAGACTTTATATTTCTTTTTAACTCAAAATTTAAGAAATTAAGCTTTACTAGTATTCAACACCCAGAATTGACACTGGTGTCCTCACTCAGTTCACGTGTTAGACAGTCAGTCACATAGCATCTTAGAACTCCACACTGCTGCAAAAACAAGGAGAATTGGAGTGTGATAAACTGCAATTCCTTGGTAAGTGAACATGTTCAGAAGGCAGGGCAGGTTTTGGCTGTAAGTAGAAAGCCTTTTCTGTTACCATGATGTGATCCATCTGAGTAGTCAGCCACTCTGGATAATTCAGGAAAGCCCTGTCACCCTGGCCCCTTTAAATAAAACAGGAGAGGAAACTGCCCCTACCTATCCCTGACTCCTGTTTTAAGGCACAAACTCCATCTCTCTTCACTTCCAGTTCTATTTTTTACTTCCCAGCAGAGCTGTGGGTGTAGCCAGGGCTTAACGAGGGAGGCTCGGCAAATCCTTTGGTCAGAAGTGTTGACACATGGTCGATTTGTGGCAGCAAGGTGCTTAAGCAACTTATTTGGCGGAAGGATGGGATGGAGAAAGTTCTGAATGTAGATGGGATTATGACTTCCCTCTCTTTTTTGGTCTGGCCCTCCTCTTGGTCAACATGGCTTCCCACTCCTTCACCCCTTTCCCCCCTCCTTTCATGGTAAAATTGTATTGTTATATATACTACAATAAGAAGAGATCTGGCAAAGGAGAGACCCAACTAGGGAGCACGCTCAGATTTGCCATTCCTCGTGGTTTACACAGAGCATGGGAAACACTCTTTGCTTATTGCCAGTCCACAGCATGGAACTTCCAAAGCCATCTTTGGCCATGAGGACTCAGGCCTGGTACTGCGTGATGCTGAAAAATCTTCCTGTTGGCCAAGGGGCTACAAAGGATAGCTCTGTAGAGGCTGAGACAGAAATGAGTGCATGTTACAAATCTTTCAAGACTATCCCTCACTCTCTTTTGTGGAGGCCTGGAGTGAAGAAGACTTCTGTAAGCCTCTGCACAGGAAAGGCCTTGTCTCCCCTCTCCTTCATCTCCCCACTTGGCTGCCATGTGTCCCTGAGAGCATGGTGCCTGTTCCTCTGGTATTTATTTTTTCCTAATGTAAGGCGAATGATTATTTGAAGATAGAATTGACCAAGTTACAACCTTAACAGCTTTGAAAATTCAGAAAGGATGTCAGAGGTTCCCTCTGAGACCAGGTTGGTAGCAGGGACTACCTCAGCCAGTAAAACAGCATAAAATCGATCTGCCTGACACAAGCTGAGACCTTGTGCTCTTCGAGGAGCCAGCCCAGCTGTGCAAAAGAACAACCTGTCCATTGCCAAAGAAACACTCTGAAATGAAATTGGTGAGGATTCCACAAAGGGAGAAAAAGACTGCCAGGGCTAGGAGTCATGAGGTACTCCTTGAACACGCATATTTCCTGATGATACTTTAAATTCATGCCCACTGTTCCCCACATGGTGCACCCTATGGATGCAGGGAGAAGAGCGTACCCCTTAGGTTGGGGAAAAGTTTTATACCACCTGCTTTACCCTTGAGCCCACTCTCCCCACGAATGCTGTGTGTGTGTGAAAAGGGAGTGTGCCTCCCGATTAGAGGGAAGGAGCATGTTCTTGTAATTTGTCTGTGCTATACATTCTCAGTAAATATTCCTTTGTAAAAGCCAATTGATGTCATAACTAGTTAAGTGAAATTGGGAATCACACTAGATGGCAGATCGTGAGTCGGAGTATTTGAAGTTGCCATCTCTCAGAGTTACCCGTAGGAGCTCTGAAGGGAGTAGCGGTTAGCTACTCTAGAAGGACCCAAACTGCCGGTGATAGTGGAAGTTAAGGGAGCTCAGAGCGGAGGTGAGCCTGTCAGTGGATTCCTGGCCTATCATAAGTGTGTGCTCCTCAAGATTCTTAATACTGGCGAGTCGGCTTCTCATGTGCACTAGGAGCATCAGAAACTGCTTCCAGTCTCTCTACCCAAATCACCAGATGATTTAGACGATTTAGTCTAGAGGTAAATAATTTAAAGAACAAAAGGAATCACGTGGGCACAAGGTTGGTTTGTTTTGCTATAGTAGGAGACCATCTCTGCTTTCTTGGGACCTTTTGAGATTCATGCGATTCTTTCCTTTGTAACAGGCTGCCTCTGTATTACACTTGACCAACCTTCCCCTCCCCCTCCAGACAACGCTGTTTAGCAGTTCTCTGGATTATTTTTCTCTTTCTTTTTGGGGGGGGGTTTCTAAAGCATAAGCATCACTGGCAAATCTGCGGGGTCAACTCACCTGTGACAATGGAGATGAGAAAACTATAAGACTTGCTGCAGAGAGACCCTGTGTCTTGCTATAAAACATGGTTTCCAGCTGGCATAGTCACATTGGCCAATGCAGAGGACCAGTGGATCTCAACCACCCCTAGCTTGATGCAACCTTAATGGGCACATTCTGGAGGATGCCTGTCATTGGCCTTCTTCATTCTCCTTCTATGCTCCCAAACCTCACCATTAGAAGTATCTCATTGCCCTGGCTATGATCCCTGAATGCCCCTACTCACAATTGTATCCTTGACTAATCCTTCCCATGCCTGGCTGTGGTGCCTTAGGACTTAAATCTTCCCTTGGGTAAGCTTAAATGTGCTTGTAATAAAGGCCTACTGCTTTTCCCATAACTGTCCAAGCTAACTCATATGAAAGCTGCTGGGTCCCCAAATGGCCTGGGACAGCTCTGCAAAGACCTTGACTATCATTATCTCCCCTTAGCCTTGTAATTACCTAGTGAGGAGAGCACTATGGTTATCATTCTTCTAAAACCTTTTTTACTGAGGAGGAAGGAAGCTGAGGCAGAGGAGCTCGATGACTCACTCCTTAGTCATACAGCGAGCAAACAACAGAGGCAGCATTTGAAATAAGGTTTTCTGGATTCCAAGTCTAGCTCGTTTTTTCACTGTACTAACACAGCTTTTCCATGATCAGTTCCAATAATGGGATCGGGGCAAAGGGAAGCCTTTCCTTCTGCTCCTTCAGCAAACAACATCACCTTCTCAGTTAACTGTGATTTCTCCAGTCCTAGCCCACAGACTAGCAAGGGGAGTGAACTGAAGACTGGAATTTCTCTCATACTCATCTAATATGAAGGTGGCTTTAAACCAAAACATGCTGACCTAGATAATTTTTCAAGGTCCATGAGGTTCTCTGATAATTATACTTTCTTTCTTTCTTTTTTTTTTTTTGGGCAGTTGGGGTTAAGTGACTTGCCCAGGGTCACACAGCTAGTAAGTATCAAGTGTTTGGTCGGAGTCCAGATTTGAACTCAGGTCCTCCTGACTTCAGGGCCAGTGCTCTATCCACGGTGCCACCTAGCTGCCCCCATAATTATACTTTCTTAGAAGGATTTAAAGCACTTTTTGACTGTATCTAAGTCTTGTATAACACTATATACCTTCATACACTTCCCAAATCAAGGCTTTTTATTAGCAAACAGAAGCTTACTAGTAATTAGCCTATACTCTAGGAATGAACAAGCATTTATTAAATACCTACAGTATGCCAGCCAACATGAAAGCACTTTATAAGTATCATTTCATTAGATCCTCAACTGGAAGAGGTAGGCGTTATTATTATTCCCATTTTACATATGAGGAAACTGAGGCAGTTAGAGGTTTAAGTGAGTTGGCCAAGATGACTGAGCTAGTTTGTATCTGAGGCTGAATTTTAACTCAGATCGTCCTGACTCCAGGCCCAGTGCTCCATCCATCCAACCACTTAGCTGCTCTAGGCTATGGGTTGGTAGTAGTCATCAACGCTGAAGGAGCTAGTCAGCTAAAGTGGCTCTGGGAAGCAACTGCACAGAGAAAGTTTCAGGGAAAAACAGGCAGTTATGACAGATAGCACTTAAAAACCCCACTGGCCTTTGGTGCACAGATAACCTCATCATCTTCCTCACTTCCACATTTACTAGCTCAGGTTACAAGCTTCTTTTCACTATAAGGTTGCTTGTGAAGTTAATTTTTTGGGGATTAAGTGACTTGCCCAGGGTCACACAGCTAGTAAGTGTTATGTGTCTGAGGGCAGATTTGAACTCAGGTCCTTCTGACTCCGGGGCTGGAGCTGTATCCATTGCACCACCTAGCTGCCCCATTTTGAGGTTAATTTTAACCAAATATTACAGAGATGAGAGGCAGCATAGCTTAGAGGTTTGAGAAAAGGCTTCAAAATGGGTATGGCCTGGGTTCAAGTCCTGCCTGTGACAGACACATACTATCTGTGTGACCCTGGGCGGGTCATGTAACTTCCTGGTGCTCTAGATAGCTAGCTGATTGGTAGATGAGAGGCTATCAGTCAGCCTTGCTAGAAAGTATTTCTTCATTGGGAGTTTTCGAAACTACCTGGATAAAAACGGGGTGGGGT